GCCATCTACAAGTATTTACATTTTTTTGCTGCCGTTTCAGATATTGTTAAAACTGGACAAACAAACATAAGTTTCTTTTGGCCCTGAGAAATCCTCTGCAAAATACTTAACCCAAAGAAATGAAGAGGGGGTTTGTTTCTGAGTCCTTGTGGCAGCTGAAACGCTTTTGGATTAGTGCATAGACAGTTTCTCACTTTAACACCTCACTTGTCTTTTTTTTCTAGGAAAACATTCTGCTGCTTCTCCTGGTGAAATCATAGGGAACTGCATCTCTGGGTGACCTCCACAGCCAGCCTCAGGAAGAGAGTTATTCTCTGATGTGCCCCTGATGGTAAGGATACCGTTTGATTAGATGGACACATCACAAGAGACTCAAATTTTATACCTCCTTTAGCAGCCGAATGCGTGTTGCTTACAGAGGAAAGAGGGCACTTAATGCTGCAATATGCTTTTAAATCAATACTCTGACCTTTTTCATTCCACACTTTCTTTGTAACAATGCTCATCAGGAAGCCTTAACGCAGGGAACTCCAAACCTCCTGTGGTCTGTGGTATTGGGGCTCCTTCCAATAGCTTGAACATCACTGGATCTCACCTGCTCTTCCCTTTCCCATTTATTTCCATGCCCACCGGGCAGCATCTTGCCTTTTCTGCAGCCAGCAAAGACCCAACAACACAAAGGACAGTCAGTTTCACCAATGGAAATACCAACACTGGTAAAACAACAATAAAACAATGAAAGATTGCAGAGGGAGAGGAAAGATAATTCGGTGGAATGCATAAATCAGACAGAGGAATGGAAAGATCCTTCACCTTTGAGAAAGTTCAGCTTGGTGGATTGGGAACTCCAAGAAGGAAACACCTTAGCAAAGGACAAATTCACCCCTCTTTGGCAGTTTTCTCGAGGGCACAGCGAGCTACATGCACCAGCAGGACATATTTGGTGAGCTGGGTGAACCCTACACGGATACTGGTATTCCCCAGGGAGCTAAACCCAGGATTGCCTGCCTGCCTGGGCACTCAGGGGGGGAACACCCTTCTCTCCAGCACCTCCCCAGCTCCTCTGAGTGAGTGGGGCTTGTCACAACGGTTACACACAGGAATCCTGGCCAACTACCTCTTTTTTCTTTTTTTTTTTTTATTTGCTAGGACGTATCTTTTGGAATAACAGATATGGGCGTGCTTTAGCTGTACGTGTCTTCTGGGGAAACGTCTGATCAGTTAGAAAATCAGTTAAAAAAATCTGTAAATAATAAGAGCAACTCTTGAGAAATAGTGTGACAAGACCAAGACATCTATCACAGACTGCACGTGCTGCCCACAGAGCCTGAAGACCTAAATACTCACACTCAAGCCAAGAAATTCTCCTCAGGTTGTGTTTCTGGACAAGGCATTATTTTCACAGCAGAATTGACTGAGTACTGAAAAAAAAAAAAAAAAAAAAAGTGGAAAAGCTCAGGCAAGTTAGACTCCAGAAGGTGGTGTTACAATTAAAAGGAGCTTCTTTAAAAAAATACTGCACAAGCAGGCACATGAAAAGAGACATTGGTTCTGACTTACTCATCACCTAAATACCTTGTGGAGGGTCATGTCAGGTTGATCAGATTTGATTTTGTCTTTGAAAGTCTGATTCACTCCAGCAACTATGAAGGTCAAGCTCCAGCGCCGTGACACGTAAGAGGATTGGGGAAGAAGGGGGGAGTGAGGAAGGACAGCTTCATGCCACAGATGCCAAGAAAACTTCATCGCGCTTCCTCGCAGCTGAGAGTGGTGACAGCCGGGGTGAGCAACGATGGAAAAGTGGTGGTTTTACTCTGGGATCTCAAAAAAAAAGGAAAAAAGTACAGATATCATCATACTCCTACAGATCTCTGGGGTTTTTTAACTTCTGAGTGTTTCTGGACCTTTTTCGTGGTGTCTTTTAGGAAGCTGATGCTGGGATATCGTATATTTTCAGTCCTCATACTTTTACTGGGGAAGTTTCTGAGTGTGTCAGGAGAATTGGATCTCTGCCTGTTTTCAGCAGCCAAGAAAACGTAGCCCAGGGCACAGTTCTAAGAGTAGGGAGTTGTGAGCTTTCTTCCCAGTGGAGAAGGTAAAACATGGTCTGTACATCTGGAGTCTCGGAAAGGGTGGTGTCACCTGGAACTGCAATACTGGGCATTTAACTCTCATCTGCCTGATTATTGTCTGAATAATCATTTCTCTTACGGCAGCACGAACAATTTTCATTCTGCCAAAGCTGGCACACTACTAAGCTTTCTTTGTTAACTTTAAAACTGTGTAAGGTTAAAAAAGCTTAATTAATGAAAAACAGGGCGCCAAGGGAGGTGGAAGAGCTGGAGTACTCCTTGCCTGTCCAGTGGAAAACATCCTCTCTATTTTCAGGGGGACATCTGGAACAACCCAGCTCAGCAGAAGCCAGGACAGTGTTCCCCGGAAGAGCTGGAGTACTCCTTGCCTGTCCAGTGGAAAACATCCTCTGTATTTTCAGGGGGACATCTGGAAGAACCCAGCTCAGCAGAAGCCAGGACAGCGTTCCCATGTCCTCAGCACCAAGAGGCTTTCCCATCCTTCAAAGCAAAATATCTATTAAAAAAGAAAAAAAATCATAGCTAACATTTCTAATTATGATAACCGAAAAATAAAGTTTCTATGAACCTGAAACAGAAAATAAAGTTTACATGAACATGAAGTCTCTCTTTGGCAAAGATACCATGTCTGTTGCCTACAGACACACCAAAAAGAGGAAGGCAGCAAGGTAGTAATATTGACATCAATATCATACCTACCTCAAAAAAATACCGATTTAAGGGTGGTAATTAAGAACTACAGCGATATTGAGGTGCATCAGCTGCTAGCAACCTGAGACTTCATATTACTATTTTCTTTTTTAAAGTTTATATCTTCTCACATTATCAAAGAAGTAATAGAAGTTGCTTATTTTAATTTCTTCTGCTCATAAAATACCCACGGGGATACTTAAGGTAGGACCTTCTGATATTCCTTAAAACTTTCCATTCGTTTTTAGCCCAAAGAGCAGATGACAGAGCTCTCCCTCTACATTTTCCTGGGGAAAGGCAGTAGAGGCATCTCCTTTATGTCTTCTGGCAGCTGGTTTTGGGGACGTGCCTGCAGCAAAACACAGGTATGGACTGAGCCGGGGTGGGAATTCTGCTCTGAGCTTTGTAACACGCTCAGTTTCATCCTTCCCCCAGCTCCAGCAGCAGGAAAAGCCTCCCTGAGGCACGGCTTTGGCACGCCACCCTGTGAGTGCTCCCCAGCAGCACAGCAGGGACCTGCAGGGACACCTCCGGGGGTCACCAGACCCACCCCTGCCACAACAGCTCTTTTTTTGCCATTTGTTATTCATTTAAATAACATTTCGAGGCTCTGTCTATAAATACAGGTGGGTTGCTTTGTAGCACCAGGATCTTTTTCCCCAGCACATCAACCTTTAAAAATCCTGCATCCTTCTTTCAAAGTTGTTCGTGGCTCCTGTGGGTGGAGAAGGATGTGGGATTTTTAAAGGTTTTGGTCTTTCCTTCTGCTGCCTTCCAGAGGCCCTTTGCTTGTCCACATCTGGGTGGTCACCCTGGGCACACGGTAGCCACAGAAGCCTTGCCCAGCATCGCAGGGAGCACACCAGCTCCTTCATCCTTCACGTGCTGTGAAGTACACTTCACCGTGTTCCCCTCGAGATAATCTGCACCCCATTCCCCAAACCTTCTCCTGAGGAATCCATCCATCCATCCATCCCTCCCTCCATCCATCCAGATGTTTCTCACTCTTTTAGCCACGCAGTTGCCCAAACCCACCTTTGCAGAGACCGCTGGCAAGGGGTATTCCCTCACCCACCTTTTTTTAAGATTTTGGGGTTCTGCTAGAAAATTCTAAGGACACTGGCCCTTCTCTTCCAGTTTGCCTCAAGTTTAACGGTCATATTCTGGTTCTGCAGGAGAGCCCTGTAAACTGTAAACACACTGAATGCACAAGAGGCTTAAAATAGTCCTGAAGTGGGAAGTTAGATTTTTGTGCTCATTTTCACATTTGGGAAAATCCACTGTTTCTTTGAGAAGAGAAACAAAAGGATTATTTTGATGGAGTTTTTTTTTTTCCTATAAGCTGTATTTGTTACAGAGCCAACACCAGACTTTTCAGTACAAGGAGCCACAAGCAGGAACTCGACGGGAAGGCTACAAAGGCACAGAATCACAGAATCTTAGTGGTTGGAAGGGACCTCTGAGATCATCGAGTCCAACCACAAAAAAAAACCAAACAAAACCAAAAAAAACCCCACACAACCAAACAAATACAAAACACACCACACCAAACGCCCACCAAAAACACCGCACCCACCAACTAAACCCCACACTCAACACCTCACCATAAACCAATAACCTTGGGCACTAGAGCATGCCCTGAAGAGCCATGTCTACACGTTTCTTAAATACCTCCAGGGATGGTGACTCCACCACCTCCCTGGGCAGGCTGTTCCAGGGCCTGACCACTCTCTCAGTAAAGTAGTTCTTTCTAATATCTAATCTAAATCTCCCCTGCCCCATCTTCAGACCATTTCCTCTGGTCTTGTCGTTCGTCCTTTGGGAGAAGAGGCCAACCCCCACCTCTCTACAGTCTCCTTTCAGGGAGTTGTAGAGGGCAATGAGGTCTCCCCTCAGCCTCCTCTTCTCCAAACTAAACATGCCCAGTTCCCTCAGCCTCCCCTCATAGGACTTGTTCTCCAGGCCCCTCACCAGCTTGGTGGCTCTCCTTGGTGGCACAAACTGTGTGAGGAACATCAAACCCCACTGGGGATGCCCAGCCACCACCGGGCGCTTCCTCACAGGGATCTGGGGCGTTTCACTCACCTTTGGAGGACAAACCCCAACCAGGGAGAAAGAGAAGAGGCTCACGACCACCCACACGGTGACCAACTCAACCCACATCCACTGCAAGTAACTCCAGTGCAGAACACAGGGTAACAGCCCAGAACACCCCAACACCATGTAAAAACTGCTTTATTGATTGCAGTTCACATGTTACAATTAAATTATGATTCCAAGCATGAAGCCAGCTGCTTGTAATAGGTATAAGCTGCCGTCATAGTCACGTGGAATTGGACGAAGAGATGCCAGTCACCGGGGGCATCCTGAACTGGAATCATTGCTGCTTCTTGGGCATGGAAGCGACGAGCAGCTGGTACACAACATAGGCCGTTCCTGAGTCAAGAGACAGAAAAGACATCTTCAGAATGGTGAACTGAATTTCTTTCAAGTCAGCTTTCCCTTTCCAGGTTTATTCCAGAAGAAATACCGACACTAAGCAGCTGCCGTTCAGACACAACACACTTCCACAGCCATCTCTCAATGATTTATTTTTTTTTTTAGCACCTTGTATTTTAAAGGGAAAAAAAAAATAATAAATACCCCTCCATATAGTGCAGAAAGAAACAGGGAAACAAGGGGAGAGGCATGTTTGTGAGACCTACAGAGACCATCATAGAGTAACAGCTACTCATTCTTAAAGTAACTGAACTGAAAATCCATTAGATCAATACATTAAAGTTAGAGGTTGTTACAAAACCACGTAATGAGCAACATAAAGGCTAAATATATACAGTATCATGAAGCTTGGATATATTCTGCTCATTTTCACAGCACGTGGGACCTCAGCACAGCAATTACCACCTTGCACTGAAGAGCCAGCCTAGTGAGAAAACTGGTGTGTGTACGTGTTGTAACTACATTTTACTCCTTCTCAGAATAAGCTTTCTCAGTAGTTCTAGTTTCCTCTAACACCCCAGAGGAATCCCGAAGGAGTTAGTCAAGGGGAAAAAGCCACCTGAAAAGCCAACCTTGAGAAAGCACAAATAAATATATAGTATGTCCAAATGGGTTTTTTTCCCCTCTCTATACAGGCATTTTGTGTGTTCTGGAGAACAGACTGAAGGGACCACACAACTAATTCCCAGAGGAAATTGCAGTTGTGTTGGAGACCGTACCAAAAGAAAAAGCACTTTAACATTAGCACGTTGGAAATTGTACCAAAGCATCAACATTTCAGTATCAGCCTTACCAAAAACCGAAAGGCCCATGGTGACTCTATACAAGACAGAATCCATCGCGCCGCCTTTCAGATGCACGGGGATGCCATTGTCCTCCTAATGCAAACCAGTGACAAAAAAAACCCTAGTTAAATATAGTTCTTATGATACGGTGTTAACATAACTAGAATTACCCAGAACAAGAATTACTTCCCCAAATTATCTTCCCAGATCCCCAAAGACACTGAATTTGACTTAGATTCCGGTCTGTCTTTCATGCTGGTATCAGTTGATCTCTCAGTAAATGATGTGCACGTTTATTTCTTTATTAAAGCAGTAATTGGAGAATGCCTGAATGCTCCTGACAGCAGTCACCACCCACCTCTGGTGCACAGGCTGTGGTTACCACCCCCAGAAACTGCCCCACAAGCACCCCCTGCTACAGGGAGCCACCAGGGGAGGAGCCCCTACCCTACCCCGTGTCACGCAGGAAAATGTTCTGCTCCACCTGATGTGAAACTCCCAGTGTCCCACTGTCCCAGACAGTGTCCCAACAAGACCAGTTTTCTTTTTCAGGACACAGGAAAGCAAAAAGACGCAAAAACTATTAAACCAGGGCTTCTAATATATTTTTTCTCTGTCACATCGCAGAAACCCAGTCTACTCTGTCCTCAGAGTGAAACTACCACTCCAGGTTATGGCTCGCAGTTGGGAGTATGCTCTTGAGTACCCACTGCTTTGGCATTTGAAGAACCACTATTCTCACCAGGTGGCCCTATGGATCAGGAAGAGACTCGTTCAGAAATCACTTTTAAGGATTCAATAGCTTTCTAGCAGTAAATCTGTTTTCTAGCAGTGTCCCCGAAGAGAAGGCTCCAGGGAGACCTTATAGCGGCCTTTCAATACCTGAAGGGTGCCTATAGAAGAGCTGGGGAGGGACTCTTTGCCATGAGGTGTAAGGATAGGCTAAGGGGAAACGGTTTTAAATTGGAAGAAAAAAGATTCAGATTAGATCTCAGGAGGAAATTTTTTACTATGAGGGTGGTGAGACACTGGAACAGGTTGCCCAGAGAAGCTGTGGCTGCCCCATCCCTGGAGGGGTTCAAGGCCAGGCTGGATGGGGCTTGGAGCAACCTGGTCTGGTGGGAGGTGTCCCTGCCCAGGGCAAGGGGTTGGAACTCAATGATCTTTGAGGTCCCTTCCAACCTAAACCATTCTATGACTCTAAATGCAATCCCTTAAGGAGTTACTGCTTTCCAAACTGAGAAGTACAATAATGCCACATCATCACTAAGAATCATGGGGCTCATCTACGAGCTCTGGATGTAGCTGTGAGATCAGAGGTTGAACTTCTCACTCTACTCCCAGCCTCTCACTTGTTTTTCTCTATTTGTTCTTGGGACACACTCCCCCACCTCAGTCTTGTCCTTGGTCCCTATCTTTGTACAGCACCTACTATCGATGAGAAACTCGGGTACAAATCATTCCACAGGGTAAAAAACCCTAAGGAGCCAGCAAATTAAGCATACATATACAAGTAATCTTAATCTTAAGCAGAAATTCCATGAGCAGAAAATAACTGCTGATTTCAAACACTGTAGTCACACAACTGATTTCAAGAGGTCACCTCAGATGCACAGGGGACTTTCACCAGTTCTTCAATGTACACAGTGATGACGAACTGAAACCTTGTAATTCTACTATTGGTGCTCACTCCATACCTGGAAAAGCTTCTGCTTCTCAGGAACTCTATTTTCAAACTGCCTGCGTGAAGCAGTGCTTATGGTCCTCTGGGAAAGCTGGCGAAGACTCTGAAATAAAAGATAAAACAGTGTTTTAAAACACAGTGAAATTTTTCAGCTATATCCACGCTGGAGTAGAAATATTTTCTTTTAAAAGTAAGATGTAAGTGGAAGAAGAGAAAGTCTTAAAAATACCAAAAGCCTTCACCACAACCCACTTTTGAATTCAGTCACTTTTTCAACAGACTGCATCAAAGACTGATTGACTGGTTACCAAAAAGGGTAAAACTCAAGATAATTACTTTCATTAAGATGCAATAGATTCATGGATCTGCAGCACAACCTTCACAACCTTTTTGGGGGGGCAAATCTCGACCTCAGCCCTTCAGGTCTCTGTTTCAGGCACAGATTTTCTGTGTCTGACTCTAGCAACAGGGGCAATATCATTTAAGATGTACATGTTTAAGCTGACAAAGATGTTTCCTCAGCTGCAGCTCGCCTGCTGGCCTCCTGCACCCGAGCCAACCTTCACAGTGCTCAAGGAGGCACACACACACAGAATTTAAAGACATCCTGCTGCATTCTAAGCTCTAATTGGTTTCTGAAGCCTGCCTTCATTAACACACCGAATCTCAAAGTTAAGTATCTCTGAGGTGCCAACAGTCTCCTTAGAATCATAGAACGGTTCAGGTTGGAAGGGACCTTAAAGATCATCAAGTTCCAACCTCCTTCAAGCAACCCTGATCCTACCCCACAAATTCAAGTGGGGTTTTTTTTAGCCTCAAGTTGCACCAGGGGAGGTTTAAGATGGATATTAGGAAAAAAAATTTACACCAAAAGGGTTATTAAGCCTTGGGATGGGCTGCCCAGGGCAGTGGTTGAGGCACCATCCCTGGAGGGATTTAAAAGATGGGTAGACGTGGTGCTTAGAGACATGGTTTAGTGATGGATTTGTCAGTGTTGGGTTGATGGTTGGACTCGAAGATCATAGAATCATAGAATGGTTTGGGTTGGAAGGGACCTTAAAGACCATCCAGTGCCACCCCCTGCCCTGGGCAGGGACACCTCCCACCAGACCAGGTTGCTCCAAGCCCCATCCAACCTGCCCTTGAACCCCTCCAGGGATGGGGCAGCCACAGCTTCTCTGGGCAACCTGTTCCAGTGTCTCACCACCCTCATAGTAAAAAATTTCTTCCTGAGATCTAATCTGAATCTTTTTTCTTCCAATTTAAAACCGTTTCCCCTTGTCCTATCGTTACACCTCATGGCAAAGAGTCCCTCCCCAGCTCTTCTATAGGCACCCTTCAGGTATTGAAAGGCCGCTATAAGGTCTCCCCGGAGCCTTCTCTTCTCCCCAGGATGAACAATCCCAGCTCCCTCAGCCTGTCTTCATAGGAGAGATGCTCCATCCCTCTGATCATCTTAAAGGTCCCTTCCAACCTGGGCGATTCTATGACTCTATAATCACCACCACTTAAAACGCAGCTGTCGGGTGGGGGACGGGCAAACCCCCAGATGAAATAACGAACCACCACACCTCCTCCCCTCGCCCACCCCCAAATAAACCACGCTACAAACGCGTTTGATCCCAGACCCACCGACTCCAACCCCCTCACAGGTTCCTAAAGCTCGGCACTAGATGGAGCGAGTAGGCCAAGACCTCAAAGGTAACGCTTCCCCCCCAACCTTCCTTTTCCCCGTTCACCACCCCCAGAAGCCCTGGAGGGGCTGTGAGGGAGATGAGCGAGCCCCAAAACCCGGCCAGGGGCCGGCGACCCCCTGAGGGAGCCCCCCCACGCACACGGAGTGCGTGGGGGGGCTCCTCAGGGGGTCGCCGGCCCCCGGCCGGGCTGTGGGGCTCTCCCGCCTCCCCACCCATCCTTGGGGGGCTGATGGAGGGGCTGTGAGGGAGATGAGCGAGCCCCAAAACCCGGCCAGGGGCCGGCGACCCCCTGAGGGAGCCCCCCCACGCACACGGAGTGCGTGGGGGGGCTCCTCAGGGGGTCGCCGGCCCCCGGCCGGGCTGTGGGGCTCTCCCGCCTCCCCACCCATCCTTGGGGGGCTGACACAGTGCTAAGGGGCTGCTCCCCTCAACCCGGCCCGTCCCAGCGGCCTCACCAGCAGGTTCCGCCACATCTCGCCTCTTGGTCCCGTCACCTCCCGCCGGTAACAAGGGCAGCGGAAGCGGAAGTACCCCTCATCCTCCTTCTTCCGGAATCATAGAGGCAGCCGCCACCGGCGAGGACAGAGCGTCGCCCTGCAGAGGCTAGAGCGCCTCCCCTCTCCTCAGCGTCGCCATTACAGTCAGTCCTCCCGCTGAGGGGCGGGGGAAGATGGCGGCGGTGGCTGTGGATGCCTGCGCTGGGAAGGAGCAGGCCTCGAAGGCCATTCCCCTTCTCGCACCTTCACAAGAGCCTTTTCCCCGTAAAATAACGGCGGCGGACTAAGGGGGAAGGCCTGAGGCAGGTTGGGGGGAGACCACCAGGCTCCGGGGAGACCTCAGAGCCCTTTACAGTCCCTAAATAGGCTCCAGGAGAGATGCTTTGAAGGCCATTCCCCTTCTCGCACCTTCACAACAGCCTTTCCCCCGTAAAATAACGACGGTGGACGAAGGGGGAAGGCCTGAGGCAGGTTGTGGGGAGAACACCAGGCTCCAGGGAGACCTCAGAGCCCCTTCCCGTCCCTCAAGGGGCTCCAGGAGAGATGCTTTCTCAGGAAGTGTAGTGACAGGACAAGAGGTAATGGTTGTAAATTGGAAGAGGGGATTTAGATTAGATACCAAAAAGAAATTCCTTGCTGTGAGGGTGGTGAGAGCCTGGCCCAGGTTGCCCAGAGAAGCTGTGGCTGCCCCATCCCTGGAGGGGTTCAAGGCCAGGCTGGATGGGGCTTGGGGCAACCTGGCCTGGTGGGAGGTGTCCCTGCCCAGGGCAGGGGGTTGGAACTTGATGAATCTTTAAGGTCCGTTCCAACTTAACGATTCTATGATCTGTCCAATTTCAGGGCCTGGGAGAAGGAAATGAGCCCCTCAAGGCTGAGAGCAGGATAGGGAAGATGAGGCAAGAGTCATAACTTCCCCATCAAGCAGCAAACACAGGCATGGGTGGAAACCAGGAGGTATTTCTCCACCCCATATAGCATAAACTGAGGAACTTTCCTGGGGATGCTGTGGGTGCCAGCCACTGCCCTGCCTTCAGCAGGCACTTTGGCAAATCCCTGAAAGAAACAGCCTTCGGAGCTGCTATGTTCCCATTTTAAAATCACCTTTCATTAAAAAGGTTCAGAGCTGCCGAGGGCTAGAAGCACGGCCCAGGAGAGCAGCACCACGGGCTGCTTCTGGTCATAGGGACACCCTCAACAGCCCCTTTGGCCGTCACTGGAAGCAGGACAGAGAGCCAGGCAGAGCTGAGCGGGACTCAGCCTCGGGACGGATACAGATCCCTTGGTGAGCTGCTACAGGCAGAAAAATAAACCAAGCACTAAAACATGTACCTGCCTCAGATGTTGCAAGTCGCAGGGATACGGAGTAATCTGCAGGTGAGAAAACAAAACCCAACTTCAGCTTCATGTTTCACAATATGTAATTACAGACAGTGAAGCAACGCCAGATGGGTATGAAATGCAGGCCTTTTTGATACTGAAAGAAGAACCTACTTGCCCTTGAAGAATGCAGCACTCTGGAGAAGCCAGTGGTTTTTTCTGCATTGCAGATCTAGGGCCGTGCCTCAAAGCACAGCACTTCCCAGCCTCATCAGCTGCCACACAAAGGAACTGAAAACACAGAGATGGGGAAGCATTTGTAGGTACAGCCTTAGCTGAGCAGCACACTACAAGTACCATTTAGAACGCACAGTCAGAGAGAAATACGATGTAAGAAAGGAGGAAACTGGGTGCATTATTTAACAAGTAATTTTCGAACACTCCAGCAGTGCTATTATAGAGTAACACTTAGAATACATTACTGCAAGACAGATTTCCATTCATTCCTCTTGCCATCTTTCATCTTAGGAGCATGTATAATATTTTTATTCTGATTTTCAGAATACTTCAGTTGTATTTAGATACTGGTAAAAGGATCATAATCCCCAGAGAAATGATTATTGCTTCGTTTCTGCTGTGTGGGCTGTTTCCTGGTGTGCCTGAATATGATTTTCAGTGCTCTCGTCTGTCAAAATACACTTTACAACAGAAAGGCCATAAAGCTTGGCGTGTGGGTTATGTGCCTTTTGTAAACCTCCTCCTGAGCCTTGCCTGCCCACCAGTTTAATTTATTTTTCTTGCAAACAAAATAATTGAGTAACTCTCTTAAGCTACGGTCAGTATGAAGAGTGAAAACACTGTATTCTGTCTATAGTATAACCATTTTCCAAGCTACTTCAAGCTGTGTAACGCGCTCAAATGGCATTAGAAGAACTTGCTGAGCCTCATTAATTATTGACTTGTGCTTTTATTCCTCTTTACCTCCTTCCCAACAGGAAATGACAGAGAATTTTCCTGCTTCAGCCTTTCTAGCAGGGGTTGGTGTAACTGAGCCCACGGCCAGCGTGGCTTTATCTCCAGCAGAGGGGAAGCAGGATGGGGCTGGGAGGCTTACAGGGAGGCGGTTGCTTATTTGAGACTCAGGTCATATAAGGACCTGCTAATTCTTATCAGGCCATTCTGTAATGGACTTTGGTCTTAATTGAAACTGTCAAGTAAGATTAGACTTTGCATTTGGGCACAGGAGGTGGTACAGTGATCAGATTCCATGAGCTAGAACCTTGGGTATTTCTACACGAAAATACTTCTGCTGATCTAAATAGAATTTAATGATCCTACCAAAACTAAACCCCACCGTTCTGCAACTGGGCTTTCTACCTCAGAGTCCTTTCTCTCTAACTGGGCTTTCTACCTCAGAGTCCTTTCTCACTCTCCTAGAAGCAGCCTCTTCCACCAGCCAGCCACGTTGCTAAGGAGAGAGCAGGGATTAAATTGGCTTAGATTTTCATGTTTTTTCTCCTGCTTTAGAAGTGAGAATTGCTGGCGGGTTCTTCAATACAGACAAGTATTTGATATGTGGAACATTTTGGGGTGTTAGGCTTGTTTTTTTAAACTCAGCAACTAGGTCAGCACAAAACCCTCATGGGACTGGCTGGATTTTATGACTGATACCTTAAACCTTCCTGAAGGCCTCTGCCTTGTCACCCTCTTCATTCCCAACTCACCGCAGAGGGTTGGTTCAGCTACAGGGAACAACCCCAGGTAGCACAAATAGCCAACTTTGATAAAAACAAATACTGCTGTTGCAGTAGCAAAGGCAGATCACAAATTTTCAGGCAAGATCAGAAGCCATATTCATGTCCCCTCAACTTGTAAGATCTGGATCATGTGCAGGGGTTCCAGATGACTCCATGGTTACGCCTTACTCTTTGTTTTCCACAGCTGCATTCTAATCAGTACCTTTTTTTTTTTTTACAGTAACTGTAGGTACACTCTGCTTTAGATTAGTCACAGTTTTTTCCACCAGACGCTCGCTTTATCTCAGTCTCAGAGTGACCTTGGGAGGCAGAGGCTATGAAGGATCCTTCGCATTCCAGTTAGAAGGTGGTGACTCTTCCCTGTGGCTCAGCAAAGCACAACCGACAGCTCCCTGAACAGCCTGAGGCAATTAAAAAACCACCTGAGGCAATTAAAAAACCACCTGAGGCAATTAAAAAACCACCTGAGGCAATTAAAAAACCACCTGAGGTGACAATCTGCCATGTTACAGCCATGGAGATTTTTTTTTTTTTACAAGAAACTAGAAGGAAATCAGTCTCACACAAATGAATTTGTTTGGAGAGATCTCGCGTAAGGCAGGGACACATCCTCGTTTCCCAAATTCCTCTCTCTAGGAAGGACTCATTTATAAGCAGACCCTCACTAACACCAGCAGCCTCCAGAAAACTCATCATCTCTCTTGATTGGGCACTGCCTGCGTTGGGTAGGACTCAGGAAGTGCCCAACTGGCACTGGGAGAGCAGAGGCTTTGCTCTGGGACGCCCTGGTGTCAGCTCTGAACACGCAGGTAACTTGTCAGAAATATCAAATCCAAGGATCTCCATAGTTACCAGCTTGACATCAAGACAAATGAGCACGAGTGAAGGAAGAATTTACAAATTTGACCTAATATTGTAAGCTCTTACAAGCAGTTTAAGCTCCTCGGGCGCACTGCCCAAAAAGGATTTACTGCTACAGCCTCTAAGAAAAAGCTTAGTTGTAACAGAAACCAGACAGCAATTCTCATCCTGGTGCACTTCGTTAAGAAGGGCAAAGAAGCACTGACAGCCACAGTCAGTGATAAAAAAAGGTAAGGGATTCAAAAATATTTTAAGGTAAAGACAGAAAAATGCTTTCAATTTTGAACACAACGCAAAAGGCAGCATTTCCTAGTTGGAAAAAGATAGGGATTATGAAAGAAGCAGAATATATTTGCAATTCGAGTGACAAAGACAAAATTTAAAAATCAAAATATTTTAATAACCAGTAATTGGGAGACAGCCCTTTACTTGCTCACTATATTCTGGACTAGCAGCTACTCTGCAGACAAAAAAAGCCGTGAGTTTTTTGCCTTGCAATATAGAAAGCTACATAACCCTTACTCTAGAATTCCAGCAACAGAGATGCAACATTTTAAATAAAACTTTAAAGTCTTGACTGTTTGAAGCCCTTGCTGCCAGGCTGTACTGTGCAGACCAATGACTGGGGGGAGGTACAGGAGGCTGGTGTGAGGGAAACCCTGCCTCCTTCCCTAGTTTGGACAGACTTACACACCACTGCCAGCTTAAAAAGGTGACAAATAATTCAGTAAAAACAGTGTTTATGTGATAAATTAATAGAATTGCTTAAAGCTGGCTATAGATTAAGCTGCTGGACCACAAATAAACAACTTTTTGTAACAAATACGCAATCCCAGGAATACAACTCACTCAAACTGCATCCGTGCTTACTGAGAATAAATGGAAATAAATGTATGTTCAAGAACAAAATAAAATCTCTTATTAAACGCTTTGCAGAATGTACCAGGTCTTTTTTAATATACTCCATACTTTATCAAGCTAGTTGCATATAAAGTGATCTCCACCATATACATTACAATTTCTGTGCGTCATCTAAAAAAAAAAAAAAAAGTCACCGAAAAGTATTATTTTACAGGTTGCACTTAACTTTTAATTAACCTAAAAGTGAAGCCTTCTGTTCTGTCATTTGATTTAAGACACTAACCCGCACGTTGCTCCTAACTGCAGGGTTGCAGTGAGGTTTCACAGCAAGCTCAACCTGCCTTTCAGTGAAAAGAGCTTTCTGCCATCTCAGCTTTCCAGTTTCTCTGGGTTATTATCTTAACACCACCAAAAAGTTGATGTGGTGCTCACCCCAAATAAGGAAAAAGTATATGACAATTCCTTTAGGACAAACCCTGCTCGTACGCCTCAAGGAAATCAGCAAACTCCTCCAGTAAAAGGAATTCACCCAAATTTGTGAACAGAAAAAAACATTATGTTCTTCTTAATTAACACTTGGAGCTGCTCTTAAAAAGCAAAACCAGCCAGCACAATAAACTCATAGTCGATATGATTTAAAGCGAAGAAAAATTAGGAAAAAAAGCAGCAGATTCTACCTGCAACAAACATTTCCCAATTTAGAACAAACTTCAAAAGGGACTGGGGCAGGGAATTAACAGGCAGGTTTTCTGCTGGCTCCCCAGGGTGGTAGCTTACTGGCCAGGCACGTGGATTGTAAATACACAGAGAATCCAGAGTGCTGAAATATACACCCCACTTCAATCCTTTAACAGAGCAGAGGTGGGAAGGACACAGGAAAAATATTTAACAACTTATATAAATATATTAAAAATCTCAGCAAGAAACGGAAGAGCCCATGCACACAAGACAGTAAACTGAAAAAAAAAAAGAAAAAACCAACATTTAAGACTTGACTTTTCCTTTCAACAGCACTGACACCCGAATTCTGGCCCGTGAGCAGTTCAGGGTGTCTCCTACCAGTCTTCCTCCACACAATCTATACATCAGGCAGCACAGGAACAAGCAGCAGATGCATCAAGGGAACAGGAGCTTTACGTGTCACGTGGCCTGCCTAGTTAGAGGCAAATATCAGCAGAATTGGTTCCGACAGCGGCAGAGATACAATCAATACAGCTAATTGTACACCCGTCATTCTCAGGAGCGACTCCACAGCACGGGAAAGGGGAGCTTTAGATCAAAACTACGGACCCAGCCTCAGAAGTGAGAGAAGCAGAGATTTATCTTTCAAAACCTGGGTGGGTTCTGGACTGGCCTCGATGCACATGCAGTACGTGTGTCTGGAGAAGGCGGGATTAATTGGGAATGTCCGCGCTAGTGTTTCGGTTCCCGTATTTGTGATGGATGATCAGCAGCACCACCCCTAAGAAGAAGCAGATGGACCCCACGGTGATGTAGGCGATGCCCAGGAAGGGGTTTTTGCCTCCCATCCACGAGATGGTGCTCAGGATCATTCTTTTTCGTCCGTCAAAACTGTGTACAGGATAATCTGAAGAACGTTTAGGAAAACAGGAAGCGCATTTCGGAATTTAGCTTTGGGTCAGGCACATGAAAATCTTGGGTCATTTTAATTCAGGTTCCAAATACAAACTGCTGCCTTTGAATATCAGAAGAGCAAATAGCTGTTCTTTTAGGCTAAGACTAATCTGGGCACTCTCAGCTACCCCAAGAAAAACGCCAGGCTAGGAGGGGTTAACTCCTTTTTAAGGGAAGAACAAATGCATCATTCTGCAGGTTTGGGAAAAATGAGGGAAATCTAAATTTTAGTTCTTGAATGTATTTTGGTACAAAGTTTTTCTTTAAGCTCATTCAGTTTTATACGCATTCCCCCCAGTTTTGCAGAAGAAAATACCATAGGAGCTATTTAAAAATGATAATTGCTTTTGAATTTTAAGAATTTGATAACTATGACAACCCTCCTCCTCTAGTCTCCTGCACTTCTACCTCCCCTTTCCAGTGTGTCCAAAGCAGAATGCTCCATCTGAGCATCGGCTCTGGCATTTTTCTGGCCTCCAATGTCATTGATTCCATATTTTCATTACACCTTGAAATTCAAGTTCTCAAATTTCTAGGCTGCCACCCACCTCTGTTCTTTCCTTTTCCCTATGCACCTCTCAGTTCCTCTACAGCACCCAAGCAATCTGATTTCTCTCTTGCTAGGAACCTACCAGCTCCACAAAAACTTCCACAGAAGTAAAAGATGGCAATATTCCACCCAATTCTCACTCCCATAGTTTTTAGTTTTCAACCACCGTTCAATACCCTTTTTTTTTTTTAAAAAGGTGGTAAAAATAAGGCTAGTTCAATTCAAACTTGCACAAAGATATGCTCGTGTCACCCAGCTCCCAAAGGTTTTTTCCAAAGGATACTGTATGTGATATCCAGGGAGTATTTTCCAGCCTGCAGGGTGGGCTGTAAGTTGTTCTTCCTCTCGATGAGGCGGTAGAGCTTGCGGAAGGTGGGCAGGGCGGCGGTGCGCATCCACACGATGAAGTCCTCGTTGATGAAGCCGTTGTTGTCGGGCTCCGAGTCCAGCATGTAGACGGGCTTGGGCCAGTTCACGGGCTTGGTCGTGCCTGGGATCAAACAAACACAGGGACAATGGAGAATTTCAAATACAGGGCTGGGTAACGCACCGGATCATCACATTTCATAGGGTCACAGAGTTGCCCAGGTTGGAAGGGACCTTTCGGATCATCGAGTCCAACCGTCAACCCAACAATGATAAAAAAGCGGCGGTGCGCATCCACACGATGAAGTCCTCGTTGATGAAGCCGTTGTTGTCGGGCTCCGAGTCCAGCATGTAGACAGGCTTGGGCCAGTTCACGGGCTTGGTCGTGCCTGGGATCAAACAAACACAGGGACAATGGAGAATTTCAAATACAGGGCTGGGTAACGCACCGGATCATCGCAATTCATAGGGTCACAGAGTTGCCCAGGTTGGAAGGGACCTTTCAGATCATCGAGTCCAACCATCAACCCAACAATGATAAAAAAAAAACCATCACTAACCCATGTCCCCCAGCACCACATCTGCCCAGCTTTTAAACACCTCCAGGGATGGTGACTCCACCACTGCCCTGGGCAGCCTCTGCCAAGGCTTCACAGCCCTTTTGTTAAGGAAATTTTTCCCAATATCCAGCCTAAACCTGCCCTGGTGCAACTTGAGGCCATTTCCTCTTGTCCCATGGCCTGTTCCTTGGGAGAAGAGACCAACCCCCCCTGGCTACACCCTCCTTTCAGGGAGTTGTAGGGACCAAGAAGGTCTCCCCTCAGCCTCCTTTTCTCCAGGCTGAACACCCCCAGCTCCTTCAGCTGCTCCTCAGAAGTTCTCCAGACTCTTCTCCTTGGTCTCCAGACCCCTCACCAGCTCCGTTGCCCTTCTCTGGACCTGCTCCAGCCCTTCAGTGTCCCTCCTGTCCTGAGGGGCCCAAAACTGGACACAGCCCTCGAGGTGGGACCTCACCAGTGCCCAGTCCAGGGGAATGGTCACTGCCCCAGTCCTACTCACCAAGTCCAGGGGGACGGTCACTGCCCCAGTCCTACTCACCCTGCTGTTCTTGACACAGGCCAGGATACTGGTGACCTTGTGGACCACCTGGGCACACTGCTGGTCATTATATTATTAGAAACCTTCTGGGCCACCTGGGCACCCTGCTGGCCATTATATTATTATAATGGCCTAGATGATCTCTACGGTCCCTTCCAACTCTAAAAAATTCACTTAAATCATCCTAATATTACCTCCCTTCCAACTCTAAAAAATTCACTGAAATCATCCTAATATTACCTAAAAAAACCCCAAATTGTAAGACACTGGGCTGTTTAAAAACTTCTTATTTTGCAGTTTCAATAGTAACGTGTATCCCTTTATTCTCACGACAGCACCATCAATTTATTTAAACCAATCTGCCTCCCCTGGAGGTTTCTATCGCCAGGAAGTCCTGTCTCAGCACATGACTCAACCTTCTCCATTCCCATGACAGCTCCTCCGCTCACTTGTTAGAATATGACTATCACTTCCTGGACCGTGAGCAAATAAAATTAGGTACAATATTTTGGATGATGCCATCCTAATGGATGTCACTAATTTTATGGGAAATTAACGCAGTTCTAGGCTGCGTTAGGGTAAGGCTCTGCTCTCCCGAAGGCAGCATGGCCTTGGTAACACGCGGGTTGGCTGTGACTAAGCAAGAAACCCACAGCAGGTTAAACCTGAAATGATCACATACTTTGCATAAACACACACACACACCTCAGAGCCCCGAGGAAGAGTCATTTCAGAGGTTGGTAGCCAAACAAAACTTTGATTTACCAAACTATATTTAAGCCAACAAGAGCCATCGGTCCCTTCTAACCACACTAAAAAGGATCAGGTAGTTTAGAAAAGTTTGTGCAATCCGGCAGGAGAAACGTTTAAATGAAAACTCCATGAGGAGTTTGATTAAACAACTGCAGGCTTTCTTTTCAAGTTAAATCCAATTATTGTAACAGTTGTACTGGTTTTGGCTGGGATGGAGTTAAATTTCTCCCTAGTGGCCTGTATCCCGCTGTGGTTGGGGTTTGTGCTGAGAACAGCGCTGATGACACAGGGATGTTTTATCTATCGCTGAGCGGTGCTTACCCAGCACCAAAGCCTCTTCTGCTCCTCAGAACACCCCAGCATGAGAGGTTGGGAGGGGACACAGCTGGGACAGGTGTCCCCAACTGACAACAGCAACATCCCACACCATATGTATTGCTCAGCAATAAAACTGGGTGGGCAGAGGGGGGCATGGGCTGCCATCACCCCCAGCTGGTGATGAGCAACTGTTTTATTTCCATCACTTATTTTTCTTGGGGTTTATTTTCCTCCTTTGTTGTTTGGTTGGGGTTTCCCCCCCACACTTTACAATTTTTTTATTATTATTATTATTATTACACTGTCTTTATCTCAGCCTGTAAGTTTTCTCATTTATACTGTTCTGATTCTGCTCCCCATCCCACCGGGGACAGGCAGAGCTCAGGAGCAGCCCTGTGGTGCTTAGTTGCCAGCCGGGGTTAAACCACACCAGCAGGGCACATATTAGGCTGTTCTCAGTACCAACCCCAGAAATTTAAAGAAAAAATAAATTACTGGTTACGGTAAAGGTAAAAACCAAAAAAACCTTATTGGAATCAAAGTGCGTTTGAAGCATTTTGTCATTCTTAAAATGTACCATCTTCTGTTTTACCTTGGAAAAGCGCCGTTAAGTTCCCATCTCCCGTAGGATTCCTGAACTTGACATTTTTATCTGTCCACCAGGCAATGCCTTTTTTAATCAAGGTGATAGGAGTCCTGGTGTCGTTATCGATGCGGTACAATTCCAGCGTGTCTAGGGAGAAAAGCAAATTAGAGAACCAGCTGAAAAAAAAAACTTTCATCAGGCAGATGATCTTGATAAGGCAGTGAAACAACTACCACCGGGGGAAACACCACAAAAATAACTGGACAAGGCGTCAATTACCTTCCTGACACAGTCACAGGTTGTTCTGTAACACTCAATGTATATTCGATAGTGGTGTATTATCCATATAAGATTCCTATATGTCTACTCCACAGCACTAACAGCTCCTCACAAGGGGGATTCCCATCCCTTGTATGCTTTCAGATTAAATTCATTTACTCTGCTCTGGTGAGACCTCACCTGGAGTATTGTGTGCAGGTCTGGAGCCCTCAATATAACAAGGACATGGACCTGATGGAGAGGGTCCAGAGGAGGGCCACAAGGATGATGAGGGGGATGGAGCACCTCTGCTACGAGGACAGGCTGAGGGAGCTCGGGTTGTTCAGCCTGGAGAAGAGGAGGCTCCAGGGAGACCTAATAGCAGCCTTCCAGTACCTGAAGGGAGCCTACAGGAAGGCTGGGGAGAGCCTGTTTACAAAGGCCTGCAGTGACAGGACGAGGGGCAATGGCTTCAAGCTGGAGGGGAACAGATTTAGGTTGGAGATGAGGAGAGGGTTCTTCACTGTGAGGGTGGTGGAGCACTGGAACAGGTTGCCCAGGGAGGTGGTTGAGGCCCCTTCCCTGGAGATATTCAAGGAGAGGCTCGACGAGGCCCTGGGCAACCTGGTCTAGTTGGGGGTGTCCCTGCTGACTGCGGGGGGGTCGGACTAGATGGCCTTTGGAGGTCCCTTCCAGCCTGGGCAATTCTATGATTCTATGATTCATTGTGATGGCAATTTAGAAAAAAGCAGCAGCGGTACAACACAAGAGCCTTCTTTTATGCTGAACAATGAAACTTGTTCGCTGTTCGATCAACAATGAAAATGTGTTGATTCGAAACAAAAAAGCCTGGGATGTGTTTCCTGTGAGTATTTTGCAACCCAGCACACCTGAGTGCTCGCTGGGGACTGTCACCTACCGTTAAACATGCTGTTGGCGATGGCTCCGCAGGGAGCGATGGGCTTGTCCTCGTTGGTGCGGTACGGCTCACACTCCTTACTGGGGTTCTGGGGGGCAGAAAGGAAAGAGGCAGATGGGGCTGTGCTGGTTTATCCAACTAGCACGGTTTTTGCACCACCTCAGTAACGTCCACATCTTAAATATGCCATAAAATAACCTTTTCACAAGTCAGGACATCTACAAATACTTCAGCGTTCAGTACTATTCAGCACGACTGGTTCATCTTTTACATGCAGGAATAAAATCTAAACACATGAATAAACTCTAAAGCATGCTTTTTAAGGCTTTTTCTGGAAGCCATTACTACTTTTTTCTTTTATCTTTTAATAGAAACAGTTTTCCAACGTGAAGCACTCAATTATTCTTTCATTAAAGGTTGGTTTTTTTTAAAGCATTCATCGATTTTATAGAAAACAGACCCTAATAAGAAGCTGAGCATTAACATAAGATGCAAAATGTTGTCAGGACTCCAAGAGCATGACGAAAACGAACACAGAAAAAGTCCCCCCCAAACCCTGTGTCAGTCACTGGCTGGAGCCTCCTGAAAAACTCTCCCCTTTTCTAACATTTACAGGTAAAAAGGGAGAATCATTCCTGCTGGAGCAGGAGCTCAACTGTATCCCCACTCCTCAGAAAAGAGGGGGAGAGGAGAGATCTGGCCCTGCACGTGACACAGTGGCTCCAGCAGAACAAACAGCGCTGACGTTTTCCAGTGAAGCAGAGTCACCAAAACCAGATGCCTGTGGCTACAACACCCAAACCCAGCGCCAGGTGACTGGGAAGTAGTTTATACCAAAAATGAAAGTTTTAGGCAGAATGGATACAGACAGATCCTACTGACTGAAGATAACAAGACAAGTTAAAAACAATTCAGATTTGAGAAGTGATCTAACTGCTGAAAAGACCGACAGGAAATTTTACAGCATTTTATGCCTATTTTCTGTAAACAAAATATTAATTTCTTATGGTTGTCTTCTATCATGCAAAAAAAACCAGTACCTCATTGCTATTGAGCTACGTGGTGATTAATGCAACAGTGAGAAGTTGGCTGTTTGTTAACTATTCAAGGGTAAATACCTACAAGCAGCGAGGCGTTATCCCCATTGAGCTGGCTGTCGTCTCGAGACTTCACGTAGCGACGGTGGTTTTGGTAGAAGTTGGAAAGTCCATAATACATGAAGACGTTGCTCTGCAAGAAGCAAGTGGGGGCAAGAGGGGTTTTGAGTCCCGAAGAGAACAGGTCAATAAAACATACCTACACACCAAGTACCACAACACTTCAATTTTAGCCTCTTAAACTGTGTTTCTGATCCTTGTTGGACTGAGTTTCTGTAAATCATGCAGGAAGAGCTGATCCGATCCTTGTTGGACTGAGTTTCTGTAAATCACGCAGGAAGAGCTGATCCCTGACAAGACAAGAGGGAACAGGCACAAACTGGAACATTAGAAGTTCCATCTAAACATGAGGAGGAACTTTTTGACTTTGAGGGGGGCAGAGCCCTGGCAGAGGCTGCCCAGAGAGGTGGTGGAGTCTCCTTCTCTGGAGACATTCAAACCCCCCTGGACACGTTCCTGTGGGACCTGCTCTGGGTGACCCTGCTCTGGCAGGGGGTTGGACTGGATGATCTCCAGAGGTCCCTTCCAACCCCATACCATTCTGTGAGTCTGGGATCTACTCGCCAGCTCTATCACATAAACACTAAATTTAAATGTGTGGAACACACACCCCCCACTTAATTTGGGTATTTCCAGATAAACAGAAGCATTAAAAACTGTCTCATCCCTGCTACTGAAAAGGCACATAAAAAAATCAGATCCAAATTTGTAGGAAAACTAGAAATAATCCTTAACAATAGAAATAAAAGCTAGGATTGAAGTGCTGCAGCTCAGCTGTCGGTTATGAAATGAAGCAAACAAAGTGCTGTGAGTCCCCTCTGGGCACGGGGTGGGTACCTCGAAGGCATGCTCCAGAGTGAAGTTGATGGTGCAGGTACAAGGGGGTGAGCTGTCCCAGGACACATTCAGACACTTGTTGCAGGGACTGGATGGTTCCGTGCCCGTGTAGTCGATCTGGAGTGGGGAAAAAGGGCAGTCATTTCCAGTGGGAGAGCACAGTGTCCCCAGGGATGGGCCAGCAAAACCCACACGTAGCAAGCCAAGCCCTTCCCAGCACCCCCAGTCTGTCACCCCCACCACTGTCTGATGGCTTTTCAGGCTGGTCATTTCCTTCTCCACCGATTTACATTCTTTGCAGTATAGAAATAATACAGAAATAACATATTGCACATAAATATTCTCCAAAACACTTATGATTTTGTAGACTCCATACACTGCCACGTGTTTGTGTCACTCTGCTTGGCCACCTCTTGTACAGAGGCATCCCATAACTCTGGTCCTCTTTGCTCTCCCCCCTTCTCTGTAGATTTTTATTAAGTTTTGTATCATTTTTGAGCTGGGGCTACTGGACCTGCACATAACGTTGAAGACGTATGGAACAGCAACATTTCCTTTCAGCTCTTCTTTCCTAGTCACACCTTAAAGTCTCTCTGGCTTTTTAAATACAATTACACATTTCACAGCACAAAGATCTCTTTCCCATATTCCCCAACTTTTAGCACATTTTAATATGCTCTGTCAATGCTTCTTGTCCATTTTAGGAAAAAAAAAAAAGAACACTTTCACCCTTTAATAACAGGACAAAAAGACACACGCTCACACAGCTGGTTCTCATTATCCACCCAAATGAACTATTTTCATAATAGACCCAAGATAAATAGCTATTTATACTTTTCAAAACAACAAGAAAATGCTAGAGAAAACTAACACCAAAAAACCCCACTATAATTCTAGTTCACTTAAGCTGCTGGAAATCTTCCACAACTGAATTCAGGGTATAGCTTATAAAGGAAATCAATGGCCAAGCTGCATTTTTGCTGCACCTGCAAGAGAAGAGCCCGGTTTGTGGAAACACCAATGGCTCCAGGAAAGGGTGATGCGAACAATCAATCAGCGTGTACTTCAGGGGCATTAATTATACATCCTGTTCAATGCACTGAGCTTACAGGCAGCTAGACACACAACACACACACACATTTACCAGGCACACTACTGTCTGGGAGGTGGGTGTAAACGACAGCCTCTGCTTCCTCTCCCCATTGGGTCTGGAGAAGAGCTTAGTCACTGCGCCCACCTCCTGGGTGCCTCCTAAATTTACAGCTATTTGTGAATAACGCTTGGAAGTTCATAACAAAAGGCAGCATCCAAAGCAGGGACATATCTCAGTGTCACAGCAGCGCCTTAAACCACCTCCCTCACTGGGGTTCACAGCCCAAACCCTGCCCTGTAAAATGCCTCCTCCGTGCTTTGTTGCTGCAACCGTAAAGCCTTTTTTGATTTTAACATTTTTCCCCCCAAAAAAATTCAGCTGCCTCTACAACGATGATCTCGCTCACAGGATTTCTGCGTTGTAACTCAACAGAGCAGGCAGGAGGGTGAGAGGTGAGAACCCACGTCTCCCTGTTCTCACTGGGACACCCCGACACTGTCCGACCGTGCTCTCGGATCCGTGAAAGCCCGAGGAGCTGCCCCGGGGGAGCTTCCTAATCCAGGGCTGAACCCACACAGGGAAACACACAAAACTCTTTCTTACCCTGAATATCTTGAAATTACAAACCATAGAAGGCCAGCACCTGCCAACTGGTTTCCAAATATAAATGGCTACTACTACTTTATATACGAAATAATATATATATCTTATTTTTATCCAGTTCACCTCTGGATTTGTGTAGTGCACGTTAGGTGGGAACAGGCTTTTGGCTCCTACTGGCATTTACCAGGAACAGCTGACAGAGCCACTAAGCACCAAGAGGATGTAGAATTTCACTACGTGCATCCAGCAGCAACACAGGCACCAGGAGTTGCTTTCATTTTTGGACTCATGAAACTCTGATGCATTTCTTGTCCCTCCACACCCACACAGCCCCACTCATAATGAAAAAAACAAAACAAAAAAAAAGAAAAATCTATTTATCCAGTTATATTTATCTTACAACCACTATGACCTAAGACTCTGTATTGCTTTACTACAGAAATGGCTATTTGAAGTGCAATTGTCAAGACAATTATTCCTGCCAGCCAATTTTTACTTCTCTCTATTGAGCGTCCCATTGCAAACGTGACTCTGTGTACCCGACCTCTGACTCCCAGGACAATTCCAGTGCCTGCAGCCCCAAGGCCACTTGGCCACACTCTGTGAAGAGCTGGTGTCAATGCTCAGACACTCTGTGTACCCTCAAACCTTGACAAACTGCTTTTGAAAAATATGGTTACACACAATATTCAGACTGTAAAATACACTTCAGCTTTTTTTTTTCCTCACTTCTGCTTTTCTGCTTGACTGGAATTTTTAACATAAAAGGAAAGTGAATGCTAAATTGATGTTATTTTAACGTTGGTCGCATCCACACAGATTCACATGGACCCATCCATCCAGCAATTCAACAAACAACTAGACGTATTATTTTTTCCTCCTACAATCAATCCTGGTGACATCAGCTCCCTGGGACTAATCCCAGCCACCCCTGGTTGTCTCCTCACAACACGCAGCCGTTCTGCCAGGGGACACAGCTGAGTTTTGGGCTCATGCTCCGCAGCTCCTGGCAGCAGCGCTGTGGTTAATTATCACATGTAAACGACTCACGTTTTGTAAATTTGGGCTCATGCTCCGCAGCTCCTGGCAGCAGCGCTGTGGTTAATTATCACATGTAAACGACTCACTAAGCAGAATTAGGAAAAGCCACGCTCTCCCACCTTTGTTTCTAAGTTCACTGCGGACACCCCGGTCTCCAACAGAGGAACGTGAAGTGTCAATATCATCGGCACATACAGGATTCACTGCGGACACCCCGGTCTCCAACAGAGCAATGTAAAGTGTCAATATCATTAGCCCATACAGGGGTCACAGCAGTGCGTTCACCGCAGAGCTCTGCCACCAGACTAGAGCTGCTTTGGGACATCTAAGGCCTTACAGCCCGTCGCCAAAAGCCCTCCCAAGGCCGGTCCCGCCGGCTGGATTAATTAACCGCTGCCATTAGCGTCCCCGAAGCCCCCCCGGGGAGGGCTGCGACCCACGCTCCCTCAACCCGGGGTAATTAATGGCCAGTTTGTTAAAGAGCTCAAGCATTAAACCCAACCGGAACCGCGTTCAGGGCGGAAACCCCGACCGCCCCCTCCGCCTCCCGGCGGCGACGGAGGGCGCCCGGTATCGCCGGGAGGCTCCGGGGCCTGCTCGGGCCCGGCCCGGCTCCCCCTGTTCCCCACCCCCGCACCTCGTACTCGCGGATGTTGTTGGAGGTGACGAAGATGCCGATGCCGATGGGGATGAAGATGAGGCCGATGATGAAGAAGGCCGGCAGCACCGTGCCCGCCGTCAGGATGGGCTGCCAGGCCGGCAGCCGCTGCTGCTTGAACGCCGTGTTATCGGGCTTGCGGGTCTTCACCGCGCCCCCACCGCTCC